CAACGCACGGGCTGCCCGTGCGAAGATGCGTTTTTTGCAGAGTTCCCTGCAGTTTTTTTCGCTACCAGCACCGGTTTTCTCGGCAAAAACTTCTAGCTAAGTAAATTAAAACTGGCCACCAAAACTGGCAGGAAAGACACCTTTAAAATTTCAGCTTTCTAGCTTTCCTGGCTCCTGGGTTAGCAACTTATTGGAAAAAATTTTTCACGAGCTCGCACTCGGGTACTACGCATACCCGATGTCTGGTTTTGAGCTCGTTGAGATTTACTTGGATGGGGAACATCTTCCTAAAACTACAGTATTTTAGCTTTTCATGTTCTCGAGTTATGAAATTGCCCGAGAAGAACTTTGGTGAACCCCTGCGTAGTTACCACGCATGACCGAGGGCTGGGTTTAAGCTCGTTGAGACTAATGTGGATGGGGAACATCCTTTTAATATTACAGTCTTCTAGCATTTCAGATCCCCGAGTTATAAACTTACCCGGAAAAAATTTTAGTGAGCCCGTACGCAAGTACCACGCTTACCCAGGAGCTGGATTTGAGCTCATTAATACCTAATTGGACGGGGAACATCCCCTTAAAATTTCAGCTTTCTAGCTTTTCTGGTTCGTGACTTAGCAGCTTACCCGGAAAAAACTTTGGCGGGCTCTTACATGGGTACTGAGCGGGAAAGACTGCCCATTTTGGGATGGGGGCCCGTACTTGCATGTAGATTAAGTCCCCAAAGTTTCAGCCCTGTAGCTTTTGTAGATCTCGAGATGAAAAATCAGTACAGAGGCCCTGCGCACACACAGACAACCTCTTGTCAATATGAGTTTTCCGCACTGCATAGCTGCAAAAACGCACAAAAATTCCACGCATCGGTACGTGAAAGTTGGTTTTGAAACCTCGAAGAGTGAATATTCTTTCAAAATTTCAATCTCCTATTTTTTTGGCTCTCAAACAAAACTTTCATGTGGTCGTTCGTAAGACCTGGACATACTTAGGAAATGAATTCAAGTTTGTAAAGCCAGGAAACATTCTTCTGAAATTTCCAGTCTCCTAACTCTTCTAGCTCCCGAGTTAGTAATTTTTTTCGCTAAAACTTCCATGAGTACGTCGAAAATTTGCGGAGTTGTACATGGGCAGGGGATGTCACGCTAAAATTTCAGCTTCCTAGCTTTTGCAGTTCACGAGACAGGTTCCCTGCCAAAACTTTTACGGAGCGATACGTGGTACCTAGCAGTGCGCAAAGGCTGAATCCATATCTGCGGAGATCGTACGTTGACAGGGGACATCGCCCAAAAATTTCTGATTCCCACCTTTCGCGCTTCCCAAGATAATCATTTTCCCCGCCGAAACTTTCACGGGGCTGTAAGTAATGCTTAGGCACACAAGAACGCTGAATTTGAATTTGCAAAGTCGTATTGGACAGGAGGCAATTACCCTAAAATTTTAGCCTCCTAGACTCCGTGATTTCTGAGATAATAATTTACTCGCCAAAACTTTCACGGGGCCGTACTTATTACTCGCGGGCAGGAAAAGGCTGAATTAAAATTTACTGGGTAGCACATAGGTGGGAAACATGTCCACAAAATTTCAGCCTTCTAGCTTCCGTGGTTCCCGTGACAATAATTTTACCCGCCC